CCTCGCTGGCCGGCCCGGGGGTGGTGGGTGCCCCTGGCTGGGGTGCTGCTAGCTCGGGGGGGGGGTGCTCTCCCTTGGTGCCAGCAGCCGGGCTGTGGCAGCGTGTGGCCTTCCAGCCCTGTGTGCCCAGCTGGGACGTTGCTGTGCTCCACCGGCTCCGTCCCACGCTGCCCTGGGAGCACTTTGGGCACCTCGGTGGCGTGGAGCAGCCGTGGGGTTACGGCAGGAGCTGCCCATCTACTCCCCACATCGCGTTCGTTGGGATTTCGGTCTCTTAAACCGCGTCTGTTCAGCCGGTGGTGACGGAGGGTGGTCACCCACCAGGCATGCAGCTGGTGTTGTCTGGACGGCTTGTTGCAGGGGAACACCCGGCCCTGTAAGAAACTGCGGGTCTGGAGTGGTCCGGCACCAGGAGCCTGGAGCAGTATCACTGTTGAAGGGTGGCACAGGGGGTTGCACACAGAGAGCTGAAGCTGCAGGCTGCAGCGCTGTGCTTTTGGCCAGTGCTCTTCTGAGAGCATCTGCTCTGCTTGAGCCAGCCTGAGAAAAGAAACTCACAAGAGTTCCCCATTTGTTTTCAATCCAGCAAATGCAGATTCCTCTGCATCGTTGCCAGCCTGACACTGTTGCCTTGTACTTTAACGGAGGTGAACTGGAGGTGCCTCCTCCAGTGGCCTCACCAGGGTGTGGAAGCTTGGCTCACCCTCAGCACCTTCTGAGAGGCGACTGCTGCTCCTGTGCTAACCCTTTGGCTGACCCTGAGTGGAGCCTCAGCTGATCCTGTCCTTGACACAATTTGGCCTCTGAGTTCAAGCATCCCTGCTGTCATTCCTGGCATTTGAAGTACTCCCTCCACCTCTGTCCTTTCACATCTCATTCTTCTTGCCATAATACCTAGGAAGCCTCTAGCTGTGTCTTAAGCGTTAACATCTGTTTTGAGGTTTGTCATGTTTCCATAAGTTTCAGTTTCTTCTGAAAGGCTCTCTCTCCCCTTGCCTATGCCATTCTCTCTCCTTTGCTTCCATTGTGATTCTATCTTTTCCTCTGCAAAAGGCCTGAAGGAGTTTGTAGATACAGAATTTGCAGTTTTGCAGATGCTTTACCAAATACAGCCTCTGTACCGTGCTACAAGACGTCACCATCATCCCCCTCATCTTGACTCACTCCTCTGGCTGCGAGTCGTGCTGGGCATTGTGTCTAAATGTGTCCTTCTTGTTTGCGAGGCCCTCCATAGCACTGCTAATGCCCACATCTCTGAGCTGGCTGCTTCTGCCGTTCCATTCTTGAAATCCTCTGCTCTGCCAAGGCCAAAGGTTTCACTTCTCTCTCCAGCTGCTCCACTTAGGATTAGTGGTGACATTAAAAACTAGTACAAAAATGCAATGATTTTAGAGAAATGTTAGCTTGTCAATGGGATGGGAGGAACTAAGCAGCAGGGGAGAGGAAAGAAGTGACACTGGGAGCCTTGCAGAGCACCAGCTCTGCTAGCTGTCATAGGAAGCTTGGCTGGGTCTCGGGGCTCTACGTGTGGTTGAAGTGTCCCTGCCTTGGGTGACTGTTTGGACAGACTATGTGACAGTGGTGATGTGAGCTTGGGTAGGACAGCCTAAGTTGTGCTTATCTTAGCACTTTACTACCTTAATTGATAATTTCCCCTCTACCTCCAGCAGAAGTATTTCTCCAGTCATGTTCTAAGGATTGCTCCACCCCACTTCTGGGTGACACAGCTTTTACTTTGTCTTATTTTTAGAACATTTTGGTTAGGAAATAAAATCTGTTGCTTCCTTCTCAGGAGCACCTAGGGCCTCTGAAAGGAAAAGGTCCACGTGATGCCAGGTATCAGCAGAGTCCCTGCTGGGGATTTAGGTTCTTTGAAGATAACAAACAGCACAGAACAGGACCGAAGGTGAGCAAAGAGCAGTGCTTCCAAGTCAAACACAAGTAATTTCCAGATTTCTGGATTCCCTGCCCAGCAACCAAAGCATCGTAATGGGCTTCTGTCCAAAAGCTGTCTTGAAAAATATTGTTTGGGGTGCAAAGTCAAGTGCTTCAGTGTTAAGGAATGTCCTTGTAGTCCCAGTTCAACCTGTTTTGGATATGTACTTGGTAATGACCGATTTTGTAATTGTATACTACTTACCCCCAGTAAGCCCAGCCATGGGTACTGGCACAACGGAAGTGCTGCTGCTCTTGGGGTTTTGTTGGCTTCTTATTCTAAGTTGTATCATTTTAGTCTGTCTACAAAAATGGCAAGAGACAACCATGTGCCTTGGGGTAGAAGAATACAGGTAACAGGTCTGTAAGGTGTGTGCAGCCACTCCATACAGAATTTGGGAAACTCTTGTATCCTAAGATGGTATACTGGCCTTTGCGTGCTTGGGTCCCCAGTGCCAGGGATTAAATATCCATCACAGTCTCCTTGCTCACATGTTGTGGCAAGGTGTTCGCTTTGCATTAAAAATTGATACTGTGCTCTAGTTTCCAGATGACTTTCATTTGCTTGCTATCTGGCCCAGCACAAGCTCCTCTTACTTCCTCCCCAAGCTACGCTTACCCCACACAAATGCCACCAGCCTGCCCTGAGCCATGTCCTGCAACAGAGCAGGTGCAAGGACTGTGACAGCCAGGGCTCAGCTGGAGAGAAGAACAAGTGGTTTGAATGACTTATATGGTACGTGGCAAAGCTCCTCTGACAAATACCCCAAACTGGTGCCCATGCTGGGGGGCAGGCCAGAGCCTGCTTAAGCAGCCTTTGTCCTTGGTCATCCTGGTTATGGAGGACTTGATGATCCAACCTAAATTTATTCATTTCAGTGATTTTTGGTATATCAGGTCACAGACAAAGCAAAGGAAGCTATTTCTTTTAAAGTGAGGACATTCCTTTTCCTCCTGGGAGCTATATGGGGTTAGGAGGTGGAGTGCAGAAGGGGTGACCTCCTGTTTCCCACTGTGTGAAGCCCAGTGCGGGGGCTGTCTGGGATCTGCTGAGACAAGCAGCACATCCTAACAAGGGGCTGCAGCAGTCAGCATTTTCCTGGTGGGAGAAGGCTCCTCTTCTCCACGCCATTAGTTGGGATTTTGACCTGCTTTCTGTGTTCTCTGTTCTGTTGGGATTTATATGGTCAGCTCTGCAGTTCGCCAGAGCTGCAGTCCCTGCATTGGCACTATCTCCAGCCGGGGCCCAGGCAGCCTGGCTCAGCGGGGTATTGTTTATCCCACCCAGGAATGTGCAGGCAAGCAAGGACCTCCGGGAGCTTACAGAGCAACATGTTCTGCTCTGAGCAGGGGGAGTAACTGCGGGTGGCAGCAGCTCTGAAGGCTGGCAGTCGGAGTGTGCTGGTGTGCAGGCAACGTCCTACCCTTGAAGTGTGGATAAGGACTGTGCAAGCTGCGCAGATACAGTGGGGGAAGGAGGGCTGTACAGATTTGGAGACCACAGGGGGGAACAGAGGGAAAGGATAAGAATGCTTTGGCGTATAGTTAGTAAGTTCTTGACACAGTGGCATGAGAAGCCAAGCATCACTCCTGATTTCTTCCCACTGCATGTTACGTGCTGATCCTGCAGCCTAGAGTGCAGAGGGCTGCAGCATATCTCTTGTGAAAGCCAGACCCAGCAGCTGGAGGGTGCACTGAACGAGGTCGAGAGGCATCTCCATCTCTGGGAGTGGATTATGTTTTCAGTGAACAGTCATTGAGCTATAATGAGTGGAAGGAGGCATGAAAAGACCTAGGTGAAATGCATGGCATTTTTCAATTTTTAAAAAAGATCACTGGCAGTATTTGTTTAATATTTTTAATATTAATTTCTTTAATCATTCTGTGGCAAACAGCTTTTGTACCTTTCTGGGAATCTGGCTCCTTCCTGGTCTACTGCTCAGGCAGGCTCTAAAGTTTTTATAGAGATTGAGACATCTGCTTCACAAGAATCCACTTGTCCCTCCTGTGGAAACCAAGTGTGCCTGTGGAAGCCCACACTGCATGTTTTGATCTGATTGATAAAATGTTAGTTTTTCAGTTATGGTGCTGTAACGCTGACCATAGCCTGTTCTAACAGTGCTACTTGAGTGAGAAGCGGAAAAGCATTATTTAGAGGGAAACGAGTGGTGATAGCACCTGTGAATTTTGATTTTCTGGCTTCTAAATTTGTGGCATCCATACCTTACTGCTTTTTATCTCATAATCTGATCAGCACTTAGGGTATACCACCAGAGTAGCTGTCTGAAAACCCTTTGGGTCTCTCCTTTTACTGGGGCTGTTTGTTAATACTTTTTGTAATCAACCTAAAATAATCTCTTCATGTTGCTGCCTTATCTCGTGAGTGCTTGAAATTCTTGCTTCAGCACCTTTCAGCAAAAGTAGGGAAGGCAAGAACTCCCATTTCTAAGGTACAGAAACTCATCAGAGACTCATTTCCTCACCATCAAAAAGATGCAACAAGGACATTTATATCACCAACTTCAGTAGGTCTACTTCCATCTAAATGATGGCACTTTGAGCAACTGCCTGACAGTTATTTGTGGTACTGGTGAGTCCGTTATTTGAGACTTCTTACCCTGCCCAATTTCAGCTGCAAAAAGAGAGGAGGAATATGAGAAGTTGTCAGTCAGTGTGTAAATGCCTTCTTTTGGCTGCTGTGGCTTGATCCTGTCTGTGCTGAAGGTCTCAAAACAATATTGTAACAGAGTTAATAGCCGTCATTTCATTCTGTTCCCTCCTTTCATCAGCCACGCTGGACCAGACATGCTTCAGAGCTCATGGCAAAATGGGATAGGCAGTCTTCCACGGAGGTAATGTTAATGTGTGCTGAGCATGCATGCAGGCAGGCTGAGGGGAGTGATTAATGCCCTGGGAATCCACTCTCTGCCTTGCTGCACAATGCTGTTGTGTCAGGCCTGGAGCTTGGCACCAGGGCAGGCTGCAGTCGAGTGCCAGGAACACATTACCTAGTTTGTGCAGGATCAGGCAATGAGACAGAGACAGCGTGTTCGCAGCAGGGCCAGTTCACTGCTGCGCTGCAGCTTCATACTTGCATGGTGAGGCTTTCTTTGGATGTGGGTCTGCTGCTAGGTGGGGGCATGAGTCCTGCAACTTGTAGTCTTGACCTCCGCCAGTCTGAAATCTCCGTGTCTGCTCATTTGTGGAGGAGCCCTCTCCCCCTCCCTCCCTCCCCCAGGCAGGCAGGGATCACCCATCCTTGAGGTGAGAGGGAATGGTGCTTGGCCAGCTGTCAGGAACTGTGACTCACTGGGGATCACAGGCAGAGCCTGGCTCTCCCTGCAGTCTGCTCTTCCTGCTGGAACCTCTGCGTGAGCTGTTGCTGAATGTTTGTTTTCACCAGATCTAGGGTGGATCTGGGAGAAGCTTGGGTCCATCATTAAGCCTGAGGAGTTGGCCTCAGTAAGTTTCCAGTCTGGAAGATGCTGGGACACTTCCTTTTCTAGGTAGGGGTTTGGAGAAAATGTTGGCAGGCAGCACTTCATGGAGTAAGACAAGGCCAGGGTCCTGGAAAACATAATGTTTTGTGTTGAATTCATGTTACGGAGTAAGCAAACCCCATAAGACCTATTCACTGCTTTTGAATGCAGGGGCATACTGTCTAGACTTGGAGTCAGGGAGTGATCCTGCTCTTCTCAGTACTGCTGAGGGAATGTGGGCTTTTGGCAGTTTCAGAAGTTACTTCATGATTTCTTGCCTCATGGGCTGGCTCTCAGGGATTGCTTTTCACATGAATAAGTTAGTGCCCATGTTTTATTATAACCGCAGTTAATATATACATGGCAGAACAATTACAATCCTGCCTGCCCCACTTGACCTGTCTCTTTGGAAAATCTTGTATATTTTAATGAATGAGTCTCCAGAGCTGCAGATGAGCTAAGGAAGTGACACCACTGTTTTCATGGGCAGGATCTGAGCCCAGGGCGGTGAGAAGGCCATATCCTCAGCCCCAGTGACTGCAGCAAAGCCAGGGTTTAGGTCTCCAGCACACATGCTGTAATTCTTATGCTCCTCAGCCCACTCTTACATTACATCTTTGACAGAAGAAATGCAAGAAATCTTACTGTACCATCATGTGCTCTTGGAGAAACTAACCTGAGACGGCAATTATGCCTGCAATATTTTTTCCATCTTTGTCCTGTGCGGCTGTGAAGTTTGCATATTCAGAGTACGGCAAGGATTCCTAGGACCATGAGCTCAGTTGGCAGCCTGCCTGTGTGGTGGAGGGCAGCCCTTAGTGCCTGCAAGGGGCTGCTACTGCTGTGCCTATCACTGCTGCTGTCCTGTTTGTGTCAGAGCATGTAGCAGCATGTCCCAGCCACCCCACCTCAAACAGTGCAAGGCTCCTTCCTTGTCTTTAGTATTTCCAAGCTAATTGATGGCTCTTCCATCTTTTTGCCTGCTCCACATGGTCATGTTTTTAATAGTTACTCCTTCTGCCTCAGTAGGTTCCTGCTACCCTGAACTGCAGCTCTTTGTGCTCCTGATTCACTCCAGTCCATTCATCTCTTTTTGGTGGCAAAGTGCTGTCGGCTGCTGGATATAGGGCTCTTTGTACAGCCAGCACAACACTGGTGACAAAGATACAGCCTGTGCCCCAAGGAGCCAACATGCTACAGGGAAGGCAGTGGAGAGCAATAGGAGTGATGAACAGGACAGCAGAGGTGAGGGTGGCTGGGGGCTGGGGTACAGCGAGCTGGCTGCAGCAGGAGCATGGCTGGGGGTGGGGAGGGACGTGCTGAGGAAGCTGTTCCTGCTGAGTACAAACCCGCTTTGTTCCCAGGAGGTGAGTCGGACTGGATAAACAGAGCGGTCCCGTCAGCAGAAAGCCTTTCCCTGGCTGGATCCCCACTGGCACTCGATGGAAGTTGGCTGCACTTCGTCAGTGGGGAGGTTTTTCTCTCCCTGTGTTAGCGTCCCCTCTTCCTGACTCTCCAGGGCTCAGGTGGGCTGTGCGTGGCCGTATGCAGAAATGGGAGCTCCAGGGGCCCTGTGTGTTTGCTGTGGGTGGTGGTGTGTGTTGTCACCATGCTCTCTGCTGTTAGCTAGGTGGGATGGTTTGACAAGCGATGCTGAGGACAGTATGGGTATTGCCAACGTGTGGCACTTGGAGGGTGACCATTTACCATTTATTGTGCACGTAGAGGCACTTTGGGAGGGGAAGACGTTGGGTCCCATTGCAAGGAAGTTGTGTCTGACCGGATGGAACAGGGACTCTACTTGTGATATGGGAGGAAAGCAGCCTGTGAACAGGGGGCGGGGGCTGCTGGGGAGGATGCTGGCATCCCAGTGTCGCAGAGGGCAGGGCTCTGAAAACACCTCGGAGAGGTGTCAGCGGTCCTGTGGTTTGCCTGTATTTGCAGTGGGACAGGAAGATGAAGGGAAGTACTCACCAGTCTGAGGTGCAGATGTTAAGGAATAACCTTAGGGTTCCTGATTGCTTTGGACGGATGCACCTTTCAGTTCCCCTCCCGAGGGATCTGGGAAGAAGGGAAGGAACAGCTGAAGCTGCAGGATTGCTGCTGCTGTGATGTGGTGTATTGCCTTAATAGTGAGGTTGCTTGGTACAAAGCAAAGATGATACAGAAAAGTGTCACAGGTCAGCAACTGCTTCCAGGGGAATGGGGAATCCAGGACATAGCCCTTGATGAGAGTGTCTTTGCCTGCCTTCAGGTCGTCTGCCAGGGGGAATTTCAGCTTTGGCTTCCAGGGCCTTGGACAGGGTCTGCACCCTCATCTCAGCCTGCTGCCAAGAACAATGGTGAGGCCTCCCAGGGGATGGCTGAGCCTGGTATCTAGAAGGCAGAAGGGGCATTTCCAGCCAGGTCTGAGGATGGCCAGGCTGGGTCAGCCCAGGCAGACTTTTAGTTTGCTACTGGGGAAGAAGATGGTGGGATGAGCTTGCCTGAGTGTACTTTGTGCCTGTTCTCTGTGGGGTAGAAGTGTGACGCTGCTTCAGCAACTGCTCCTGTGGCCCTGAGCAGTGACATGGGGAGGGGGATGCCTGTGCCCATCCCCCCATATCATTCCTGGTGGGACTGTGAAAAGTGAGTGGTGCTATCTGCCCGCCCTGCCCTGCATGTCAGGGAAGCGCTGAACTTCCTCTCTTCCTTTTGCTTCCTTCCTGACAGTAATTAATTTCAAATTTTCTTGCTGCTTCTCCCCCCCTTGCAGCACAGACGTGTCCCCACAGAGATAGCCAGAGGTGCTGAACAAGGCAGGTTAGACCATGGGAGTGCATTGCTGGAGACCCTTGGCTCCTGCAGCATGCTTCATGTTGCAGGGGGTTTCAGGGAGCTAGGACAGGACCCTCTTGTACTGTTCCTGCCTCTTGTGCTTAGGAAGAGTTTTACTTTCTGAGCATATGTGTGATAATTTCAGGTGTTTCTGGCTGCTAACTGACTTCCCACTGTGTCTCAGCCTTAGGTACTAATTTGCCTTCAGACCCTGCACAATGGAGGCTGGCTCCGTGGTACGAGCAGTCTTTGATTTCTGTCCCAGCGTCTCTGAAGAGCTGCCTCTCTTCGTGGGAGATGTCATTGAGGTGCTGGCAGTGGTGGATGAGTTCTGGCTCTTCGGCAAGAAGGAAGGTGTCACAGGTAAGAGCTGGAAGTCCCTGCACCTGTATCCCTAGGTGTTCCAGCTAAACATCCACTCCGGGAGCACACCTTCCCCTTGGCCAGCACTGTGCAGAACCAGATTTGATTTACTAAATCTTTCTTGGGTATTTTCTTGGGACTGAGGGTACAGGTTGCCCACCACTGGTCTCTTGCCAGCTTTGAGTCAACTATTCAGACAGTTTGTTTGTTGTTTTTTAAGAAAGATGAGTGGAGGTTCAGTTCTCAAGGAGATGAGAGCTTCACAATACTAGTTGCTCTATCCTCTGTGGTGAGACAGCCCATTTCCTGGCTAGTTTATGTACTGACCTGCTGTAGCAGTGGAAGGGGAGAGAGGAAACAGATGCACTGAGAGTGGAAATGCATCAACATCCAAGTGACCTTGTCAGGTCAAGTCAGTGGGAGACATAGTGACAGAGTCCATGTCCCTCCAAGCCTTCTGACTCAGCCTCACTTCCTCCTTTCCACTTTAAATCATTTTCCTGCACAAGCTGCCATCGGTATCTGGGTACCTGAAGTAGTGTGCAAGTCCTAAACTTTTGGAGGGGTGTGAGCAACTTTTGAAGCAGCAAAATGCCCTTAGTGCAACAGTTTCATAGTCCCTGTGTAAGCAGCTCTTTCTCATTTTAATACTGATGTTGAGAGGATGTGTGAGCTCTCAGGGGCATGAAAACCAGGCCACTTCAAAGCATAAGCCTGACTCTGTCTTCAGCATGAGGGTGGGACTGGAGTTTCATCCCTGGATGTGGAGATGGGGCTGCTATTGCAGCAGCAGTCTGGACTTTGCTAACAGCCATGAACTGTCTCTCCTGGCTAAAACAAAGATGGAGAGGAACAAAGGTGGAGAGGAGGACTTCTCTCCTGTGCTCCACATAGCTGATAAATGGCATTGAATGAGTGCACACCTGATCCTGCGGCTGCTGAAGTCACTGGGCACAAACTACTTCTGCAGCTACTTCACCACAGCTTTGTCTCCCGGCATAACTGATGCGCTTGTTCTCAGGAAGATGAAGCTATTAAGGAATAATAAACAGATGCGTGTCATAGCTCAAAGATAAAGAAATACACTGAAGTCAAACTGAATGCTTTTAATGACTTTTAGCTCAAAACCCACTTGCATTCCTTCTTTCCCTTGGAACAGCTGTTGTAGTTTTCTGCCCAATTTTCTAAGCTGAAGTTGTAGGGAATTGAAAAAGTGCTTTTGAATAGAAGCTGTGGAGGTGCAGCAGCCTACCAATAATAATACTCAGTACTCTGTGGGGAATAATTAATGTAACCTCCTTTCTAACAGCATTAGGTTGTTTCCATGTACCAAGCAGGAAACTAAGGCATGGAAAAAGAAGTAGAGTTGGTTAAATCTATGAAGGAAGCCACTGAGGCTAGCAGCCTGTGGGCTGCTGGTTGCATCTCAGGTTAATGACAGCAGATGCCAACTGCCTAAACCCAGTGCAAAGTTCTGGGTGTCTAGGATATTGTGTCTCCAGGTTTTATTGGAGAATGTGGATGCCATATTGGGTCATCAGGATTAAATGCTAGAAGTGCTACTAGCCCATACTCCCATCATATCTCCTTGCCACAGATTACAAAATATAGGACAGACATTTTTAGTGGGCTCTGCCACATCCTGTGCTCCCAGGACTGAAATTAAAAGCTGAGTAGTATCTTGTGATGGCCAACAAGTGTGTGCTGCCCCATCTGGCAGTGGGCTGTACAGAATAGCTGGGCATCCAGCAGTAGTGCCATGGTGAAGTAGGTGTGCAGAGGTGATAAAGTGGGGAAGGTCCCTGGAGTCTCAGCAACACTACAGCTGTGACAGAGCTTGTGAGTCACAGACGTGGCCATCTGTAGTGTGGTGGCCTGGCTTCTGCAATGAGGCCATGGAGGGGCCAAGCCTTACAGAGTGAGGAGTACCAGGTGAATGTGCCCAGTCAAGAGACACTGGTCTCATGGTCCAGCATCATGGCTCTGAACTGGGAAGCAAGCAATGAAAGCAGAGAAGACCTAGTATGTCTGTTCCCAGAAACCGTGCTGATGGCACAGTCCCAGTAACAAACACAGCCTGTTGATTGCCTGAGTGGGCTGAGGGCAAAAAGCCTTTTGTTCACTGTTAGCTCTTAAGCATTTAAAACCTCAGGAATTCCTGACTCCCAAACTCATTCTTCTTCCACCATGCTATTGTAACACTCTGGGTAGCTGGTTATTTTCCTTTAGCAAGAGATGAATAAATTCCAAAATCTGGAAGAAGAGTGGAGGGAGGTGGTGGTGGGCTACGGGAAAGAATCCTTGCTGACAACTGCTTCTTGTTTTAGGGCAGTTTCCTAGCAGCTTTGTGGAACCTGTGGATATTCCACCTTTGAAGCAGGGAGAAAAACTGTTTGTTTGTACCAGTGACTTCACATCTCAAGAGCCAGGGAGTTTGTCATTGCAGAGAGGTAATCTCCATTGCCTTCCTTTGCTTTGCATCTCATAGCCCTCACCAGGAGCATGAACCTAGTCACAGCATCCTGCCTAGAGTGGCAGGAGAGACTGTGAATTTCCTAATACCTCATGATATGGGTCATGTCAAATCCAGTATGGATCTTTGGGCTTCTGCCACTCTGATACTGGTTTCTTATGATCTATTACTACTCTTGAAACTCCAATTATTGGAGTCATGTAATCATAATAAACTTACAGCTGCCCTTTAACTGCCCTTCAGTCCCCAAATCTTAGACTTGTATCTGGGGGAGGAATCAAAGCTTTTGTGCGCCTTCATGGCTTAGTAGTCAAAAACTGTGTATCTTAGATATGTGTGTGCTTCATGCCTTACCTCCAGTGCTCTTGTGCATCCCCAGCATGCACTGCGCTCTGCACAGAGTACCAGACCTTACCCACAGCCAGGAAGGACACGGGGAGGCAGGAATATGAGGTGGGAAGCAATCATGAGGGCAGTTTTGAACTGGTGTGTCTCATTCCCTGCAGGAGATCTGGTGATCCTGGGGGGGTCCCTGGCCTCCAGCTGGCTCCAGGGCCGAAGCAGCTGGGGTTCCAAGGGATTTTTCCCCTCATCATGTGTGCGAGAGCTGTGCCTTTCAGTTCGGAGCCGTCAGCTGTCCCAGAGTGCTCTCCTGGAGGTGCCTGCCTACTCACTGGGCCAAGCCCGGGCCCTGATGGACCTATCTGCTCAGCTGGAGGAGGAACTGGACTTCAGGGAAGGGGATGTGATCAATGTTGTTGGCATCCCAGAGCCTGGCTGGTTTGAAGGTGAGCTCAGAGGCCGCAGGGGCATCTTCCCAGAGGGTTTTGTGGAACTGCTTACTCCTCTGCGAGCATCAGGAACTTCAGTGGATCCAGAGCCCACAGGGACTTGTGACACCAATGGGACAGTGGAGATGCCCCCCAAGGAGGAGGAGGAGGAGCCAGGGAGCACTTATGGTGTTGCCCTTTATCAGTTCCAAGCCCTGGAGTCCAAGGAACTGGATTTTGATGTGGGTGACAGGATTCGGATCATAGGCATTCTGGAGGATGGCTGGCTGGAGGGGGAGCTGAGGGGGAAACGCGGCATCTTTCCACACAGATTTGTGAGGCTGGAAGCCTCTGAGGCTTGCAGGGAAAAGATGGGTGCTGGGAATCCCCAAGGTGGAGGCAGATGTGGACTCACCATTAATCAAGACACAGAAACCACCTGCTCTGAAGCTCTTCCTTTGCCAGGGAAAGATGGCAGAGAAAAGGAGGATGACTTGGCCGCACACCCTGAGCATGACACCATTTTGTCTCATGCAATCAGGAAAACAGAAGGTCATCTTGGCACAGATTTGAAACAGCATCAGGTTTCTGTCACAGGACACCAAGGGCCATGTCCCAAAAGCACAGCAGACTCCATCCCCTTTGACCACACAAAGACAGTCAATGGCATTCTCCCCTCTGCTCAGCTGCCTCCCCCACAGGGCAACAGGCCTGGCCAGGTAGGTGAGTTGGAGCCTGGGGGAACTGTTTCAGCCTCCCCAGGAAACTCAGAAACTCAAGCCCTGTCTGAGCATGATGGAGACAGTCCCACTGTGCCCCTGCAGGCTCCCTGTTGTTCCCCAGATCCTTGCAGGAGCCAGGCAATTTCTTCTTCTAACATCTGGGCAGCATCCGAGCCCCAGGAGAGCCAGAGCAGCACCCAGGACCTGGATGGTTGGGTGGACATTCAACAGGAGAAGTCCAAACCTTGTTCCTACAGCCTGGGAGGTGCCCAGGTGGGTGTGGACACATGGGCTGGGAACTGTGGGGAATGCTTCCCACTTGCCACGCAGGGGGATGGCTGCACAGACCTTGACTCCAAACTGACAGAGCAGCTGGCACAGTTTGAGAAGAGTCTGTCAAGTACTGGTGCTGAACAGGACAAAGTCTCCCGCCACTTCTCCATCTTAGACTACAGCTCTGAGAAGGACATTGTCCGTGGGTCTCCTGAGTGTACCCCCCATGCCAGGCAGCCAGAGAGGAGGAAGGCCCTCAGGCCACCCCCTCCTCGGCCCAGCAGTCTTGCAACAACCCCTGTGCACACACTGGGTGGCCAGATGCCCAAAGGCAGGTCATTGTCCTTCTCGGTCAAGCCTTCTCGGCCTGCGCCCCGGCCTCCATCAAGCACCCAGCGGAAAAATGTGGCCTCTGCACAGCTTCAGCCCAGCACCCAGGAGCAGCGGGTGGAGGAGGGACGTGAGGACTTGACACAGGCAGGATCAGCTTCTCCCCACTCTATTCTGATGATGAGAATTGGAGAGGTGGAGCGAGACCTGGAGGCGTATGGCAAGACCCGCACTGAGCTGAGCCTGATGCTGGAGGAGCAGCAGGATGAGCTGGTGAGAGCAGAGACCCTGGAAAACCTTGATTTCTGTGACTCCAACATCGAGAGCCTCAGTGTGGAGCTTCAGGAGCTGAGAGGTGAGTCTTCAGCAGCGTGGGATGGGAGTGCTTCAGGGGGACAGCTGGCCCCTGTTGTGTACAGGCACTGTTAGAGCCAGTCTTTTATTTCCTTCTTTAATTCCTGATTTTGGTAATTTTGTAAGTGTTGCTGCAGTACAAATCATCACAATTTTGCCTTGGAGAATCACAGTGTCATTATCTGGACATCCCTCAGCCCTGGCCTTCCCCACCCCCTTTTCCTTCCAACTCTTCCACCTCTTCTTCCAGCCCCACCCTACATCCAGAGCCCTCATCTCATCTCATCCATTCCCAGTGTGTCCTTGCTCTCAAGCAAAACCACAGCTGTTGCAGGTTCAACATCCCTGCATCATCCCCTCTTAACTGTAGGGAAGTGAGCAGCACCTTCAGAGTGGCTTTGCTGGTGGTTCTACAGTTGAGATTTGAGTTATGTCTGTGGTGCAACTGCCCTCAGCCTGTCAGGGCGCTGGGTGTCCTGTAGTTTCTGCTCTGGTGGTGATACAGACCTTTGGAGACTTGTCACTTAAATCAGAGGGGATGCACAGAAAGGTGCTGAACATGGCCTAGAAGTGGGGAGGGTTAGTGGGCAAAAAATAAAGCTCGCCCCTGTGCTCCTGCTGTCTCTGAAGTCCAAAATTTCAGGACAGGAAAATGACACTGCACTGTCAGTAACAGCAGCAAAGAGCTTTAGACTGCAGCATGTCTGTAGCCAAAAAGATTACTTTTATCCTTGCAGCCCAGAAAAATTACTCAGGAAGGAGAAATTTGCCCTGTTTATATCAGCACATTTGGGCTCCAAAACCCAAAGATGCCATATAAAGATCAATGCTGTTAATTATGTTATATCTGATATTACAGTAGACAAAGTGAAAAGACAGAACCACATACATCTCCCACAGTCCCTTCCCCAGCTTCTTCCAGGAGCTCTGACACTGCAGTTCTATTACCGAAACCCACAATGTGCAGGAAATGTGGGCACTGCATGCGGGAGGTGGAGTGAAATGCCAGCTCCTGCCTAGAGATTACTCACTCTGACTTCATTGCCTCCATCCTCCCACTGCTTAATCAGCGCTGGGGAGCCCAGGCACTTTGCTGCAGGATTGTGTCTGAGGCAGAGCTCAAGGGAATGAAGGCTGATATGGGTGCACCAAGGAAACATGGTGACAAACAGCCTTCACATCAGTGGCATGCGAGAGGGATGCTTGGAAGAGGTTTAGAGGATTTGAAGCTAGATAAAATAACTTGAAGGTAGGAAGAGGAAATTTTAGCCCGGATCTCAAGGGAAATTTTTTGATGGGATGGATCTTGCTGAGAAACGTCTCTAACTGGCCCAGTGCTTCCTGTCAGAGGATGACAGATCCTGAGGAACCTGTGCCCTGTTTGTTAGTGCAACTGGAAGTTTTAGGCAGGAACAAAAGCACGATCCTGAGACATCATACCCATCAAGTTATCCCCTTGGTAGTCCTAGGGGATTTTTCACCACTTCAAGAGACCTGAGGATTTATAAGTAGCCTGTCTGATCCTGTGATAAAGATGTGCCCTAACCAAGCTCTGTGGCAACCCTCCTGCCACATCTGAGTGTGGCCAGAGAGCATGTCTCAGGCTTGGTAGCCTAGCTTTAGTGCAGTGGTCCAGATCAGTAATGCAGTGCTGCATCAGCTCAGCAAAACATGTTTGCACCATGCCTCAGGCATGGCCTCTGTCTTGCAGCCATTAGGGGTTCATGGAGGCATGCTGGAGGGAGGAAAGCTTACCCTAAGCATTGGCCAGCAAAAAAAATTTGGGCTAGCATAGTCTTGGGGGAACAAAGCCCTTTTGTGTCCTTTGGGGAGCCAAAAGAAGAGCAGAAAGTATGTGGTTTTCTAAAATACATGTTTAAAATCTGCAGGTTGCTTCTTTAGCATGTCTTGGGTGCACACTGTGGGGTTCACTTATCACCAGGCTTGGGCAGGATTAGTGTTTTCCTTCCTGGAGTTGGAGTAGGAGGATCCATGATTTTTTTTTTTTTTTGGTCTTCTACCAGCTAGTAGCATTGGCTGTGCTACAAATGCAACAGGCTTGCAACAAATGTTGCAAGAACCTGAGATGTGGATGACATCCACTGACTCTCTAGGGCGTGTTGTGGTCACCTCTTGGTTTCTCACAGGATCTCCTGCATTTGGCATGGAAAACTAGGAATGCGTTGCGCCCTGCAGCAAGAGGAGTTACTGGAGCACGTGTTGCTCTCGCCTCCTGGAAACTTGTATTGTGTGTTGGCACTGGACTCAGTAACCCAGATAGTCCTTCAGGGCTGTTCATAACAGTGGGGGCACCAGCCGTTCACCCTGGAGCAGGGAACCAGGCAGCTGTGGCTGCATGGCACTGTGCAGGGACCACTCAGGAATGCTCTGTCTCGCAGGGAGCTGCTCATCTCTGACTCTTCCCAGAGATGAGCAGCTCTGTGGTGAGGGCTGGGAAAAGGATGGGCTCAGCATCAGCTTTGAGCCAGGGGCAGCATGACGGCCTTGGTTTTCCCCTGTGAAGTGTGGAGCAGAGCCCAGCCTCTGCTAGACGGCATCATTTAGCCTCTGTGCTGGCAGGAGCGTTAAGACAGGGGAAGGAGATCTGATATCCCATCTCTGGTCTGTGGCTTCCCGCAGTCTCACACACAGTCTGTTTTCCTTCCCTGAGGACGTCGGTATTAGGGCAGGGCCTCCTCATGCTCCAGTGCCCTCCTTTTCCCTGCCTCTGAGCTGCCAGTGGAGAGGCTTTGGCAAAGCAGTGGAGCCGGTTTGGGCGGTGAGAGCCTGCCCAGCTCCAGTCTCCCTCCTCGGGGCTGGTTACTGATTACTTTGGGCAGCAGGTGGAGGAGGCCAGGGCTGGCAGTGATTGGGCCTGTGGCTCTTCCTACCCTTGCTGGCTGGTTTCAGGAAGCAACGCCTGTGTTTCACTTGGGACAGGAGAGCAGGAGCAGAGCAGAGAAACGGTGTCAACCCAAGCTTGGGCTCGAGGAGCAGGTAGCAAAGGAAGTCAGCACCTGCACTGCACCCCAGCAGGACTATGTGCTCTTACCCTGGGACGAAATGTGGTGTGGAAGATCCAAGGCAGGAGCCACGGCTCCTCAGCTGGGAATATGAGGACTGTTGTGCTGTGCGGAGAGAGGACGTGGCTGGGGTGGCTGCTCTGTGTGGTGAGGCTCACAGCAATGATAGACCCAGGGCGAGGAGGCAGCCCCCGGGCTGCCGGGGAGCAGACAGTGGCTGGAACAGTTACAGGAGAGGGGAGGGCATCTCTGTGGACAGACGGAGCATGAATGGAGACTGTGGGGGTTTTTGGAAGGGAGGTATCCATTATGCGGACTGCAGGAGAGCAGACCATGCTTGGGAAGGAAGAAGCCAAGATACAGAGGGTAGAAACTCTAGGGTGTATGAGAGGGAGGGTGTTCAATACAAAGACTGTGGGTCTGAGATAAGAGAAGGAAGGTACAGAGAGGACAGAGTACCTGGGCAGTACAGGGAGAAGGGAAGGCAGTATGTAAAGGTTAGAGGCCCTGGAGACTATCAGGAAGGGGGAAGGTGGTCTCAGGAGGACAGAAATCCTAGAGACTACAGTGAGGATGAACGACATTATGGGGAAAAGGAAAGGTGGTATAGGCAGGAGAGGGACTCTGGGGAGTGTAGAGAGGAGAGAAGGCAGTATAGAGAAGATGGAGGCAATCAAGTATATAAAGAAAGGGAAAAGTGGTATAGAGAGGATGGAGGCTCTGGGGCATATAGAGAACAGGAAAGGTGGTATATAGGTGCCAGGGACCAAGAAGATCAAGAAGACTTTAAGCAGCGCAGGCAGCCCAAAGACCATGCCATGGACCACAGCAGTCTGGACGGAGATTGTGAAGCTCCTGCATTTGCAGTCTGGTCCTCAGGGGATGGTAGAGTGAGCCTGGGGTCTGGCATCTGCTACACACAGTCCAAGATGCAGGACATGGACTATGATGGCCATGGGGAGCTGGAAGAACCAGCACCAGGGCCCAGGATGCCAGCCAGGAACAATGGCAGAGCAGAATGCTCAAGGGTGCGCACGGGCCGGCCAGACTGGAGCCAAGTCTGGCAGGAGGAGGCCGAGGAAGCAAACAGTGTGGGCTCCATGCTGCAGCGAAACAGCTTCTACAGGCGGACGGCTCCCAGTGCTTTGCGGCACTCAGAATTCGTGCAGACCAGAAAGGAGAAACGAGGTATGTGGGGAAATGCTAGGCAGTTGCCTTGAGTGTGCCTTTGCCCTGCTCTGGCACCAGGGCAGTACCAGGACTCTGGTGCAGGCAGGTTCTCATGGGGAACCCTGGGGCTTGCTGAAAGGGGCATCATCATCGTTACTCTTCTGTACAGTCACCTACATGTTCTGCAAGGGCTCTTGCTCCCATTTTGCTGAGGTCCAGGTGGGAGGGAAGCCCAGGCAGCACAGACCCACAGCTCACTGATTGCTCCTCCATGCTGTGGCTGGAGTGTTTTGTGTCCATGCCCAAACCTGTGGCCCTGATTTGTCTGCTCTCTCTGGGCCCCAAAGAAGTTTCTTATAGGATAAGGGTGAGGTGTTGGGGTTATTCCCGCTGCCTTTTTACTTTTATAACCCACTGTGAACAGATTCTGTGTGTAGGAACCAATTACTGATCCTATGGAAGGCGAGTATGTCAGCTGTTCACAGACAGCACGAAGCAGGAAATAGGAGAAGTTGTAGCACTCAGACATACGCGGAGGGCAAGGACTTGTAGTTGCATCATAACACATGGGCAGGATAGTGGGGCACCCTGGGTGTGCATCAGTGGGTGTCACAGATGGGAACTGAACCTCCTTCATTGCCAGCCCCTTGGTACCACAGTGGTCCCTTGCCTGTGCTACAGCAGTTGTGTGCCCTGGGTCCCCGAGGTGTCCCTGGGTCTCCAGTGCCATCAGCCAGCACCCTGGAGCTGAACTGATACCAAAGCTGGAGGACTCAGGCTGTCTGCCATGGGCAGAATCGTCCCATTG